AGTGGAATCAGATCCAGACGGTATAAGATCGATAACAGAGAGGGAATACCGAACCTCAAAGCCTTATGATGAACCGGATGGTCCATACGTTATGAAACCAGTAGAGGAAAGGGAATACCGGAAGTTAGAGCTTGTTGGCTCATTAGGTGAAGATGATGATAGTTCTTGATATTAATAAGATGTGATTCTTTTTTTTTTGTTAGTCAGCTTTTCTCTGTTCACATCTTACAACATCTCAGGAGTGAAATTTTTCAAATGTTTCAATATCTCACTCATCATCTCAACTAATACAAAACCAATTATATAAACCATTATAATAAACACAACCTAGTGTAAGGTTGTGAGCTTATAGAAGAAATGTCTAGTGGGACAGAAATTATAGCAATTTGAATCCTAGGTGACAATGAACTTCACTTACTAGCAAGTCTACTTCTACTTAAACTAATCCAGATAGAGATTTATCTTCGTATGAAATGTGAAAGGCAGTTTGATTCTCAGGTCTTTTTGTTTACGGGTCAACGGTCTGCCTTTGCTTTCGGGATCTCTGTTCTCCCTCACATCTGCTAATTTCCAGATACAGATCTCTGATTCTGCATCTACAGACTCCAAGAGGAACACTGCGCTCTTTACTGCTTTCCTCGAGTTTGTTTCCTCTTCATAGCTTACTGTCATCGGCATCTCCTTGAATCGCTGCAAGTCCTCTGGAACTCTCAGCAGCCTCTCTGCTCCAGGAGATGATACCTTCAAAATAACATCAACACGAAAACAAATTTTAGAACAAAATGACCCGACTAATTGTTGACTCACGGGAAAAGACTCCTTTTACCTCGAGTGCTAGATCCTCTGGGACAACTTTTGCAGCCCCTGCATCATCTAGTCTTTTCTTAAATTCTCGACTAAATTCCTCAAGCTCATCCAAGGTAGGACATCCATATCTTTGTACAAGACAAGGGAAAAAACAAAAGTATTTCTTTAGTTTCTCAAATGTAGTGCTTCCTCAATAGCTTTATATAGAAGAGTGAAGAATCTTTACTCATTGGAGAGTTTGTCTAGTCTGACGTATATATATCCACGCGGAGAAGTTCTGAAAGCAAACAGTTGTAAATCTTCTTCAGACTGCTTCACAACTTGAGAAGCAATAGAGAGAGCTTTTTCACCCCATTGGACACCTCCAAGAACAATCCCACCACCATCTCCTCCGTCGCCAAGCTGTAAAATAGAACAAAAATGTAGCTTAAAGGAATCTAAAAGAATCAGAGTGGCAAAACTAAGGGAAAATCAAGCACACAAACATACTCGTGGTTCAACTTCCTCTTCTTCTTCCCAATCATCTATGACCTCCACATCATCAGCTGTTTTATCTGCCAAAGAATGTGCATGTTCAAGAAAAGGCACAGAGATGATCAATGACGCAAAATTGCAGAATCAAACTGACGATGATAATGAAAAACAGTGAAAATGTTTCTGACTTAAAGCGTACAAGTAATGATTGTTATATAAGATGAAACATTTTCTTGTCTTCTCAGGAAAACTGTAAGGAGCAATAGGTATGGAGATGGAAGCTCCAAAACAATTCTTAGGATTACATAAATCAGCAATGAAAGCATTGAGAAAGTGATTTCGCATAATCAAAGGTGGGCAAAAAAAAAACAAGAGACATTTTAACAAACACCTTAAAGACATGAAGAAGAATGTTTACAAGCCAAGATCACAAGATTAGATACGATCAAAAACACAAAAGAAAAGATGCAGAAAGAAGAATGAAAACCCAGAAAACAAAGACGCAATCAAAGAAGAAAAAAGGTCTGATCTTACATTCAAAAGCGTCTCCTTTTCCGCCATTACTAGAAGCGGCGGATTTCGGCGGTCGAACG